GCATGCACTAAACAGATAACAAGAACAAGACAACCACTTTTCAGACAATAAACCAAATTTGTGCAGAGAAGAGTCAATCAAGCTGTCCCTTCCAGATTTTTTGCCTTGTCTTGAAAAATATCTGTAGGAACTAAATAACTACCAGAACGAGGCTTGAGAGAATAATAAATTTGTCTATTCTTCCCTGATTTCTTTCATGCAACTTCCACAAATCTTCCTGTTTTATCCAAGGTGCTTTTTAAAAAAATGGTATTTCAGTATAGGAAAAATAAATGAAAATTGAGTCACAAGGTACCAGACATTTATTTTACTATGTGACATGGTTAGTAGACAATGTATTTATTTTTCACATTTGTAGGGCGTCCCTTGGCTTTAGGGTTTTCAGAAGAGCATCTTGTTCTCCTTCCCATTATATCACAACAGTGGTGAAATCCAATTTTTTTTTCTACCTGTCTGTGGGCTTGGTGGGCGTGGCAGGGAAGGAGACTGCAAAATCACCATTCCCACCCCACTCCAGTGTTGCAGAAAATTAAAGGAGTCGGATTTCGAAATCAAGAAAAGCTTTTATTTTGGTCAAAATACTGTTCAGACAGAAATATATTCATCTAACATCTGAACAACATTCTGTTAAAGACACACATTCTTATAGACTCCAAAGCAGCAAAACACGGAAATATATGAAATCAGTCCTAATGGCTAGGCCCCTTGTTGCTGGGCAAAAAGGCTGATTCATGCTGATCCATGTGGTTTTTAGTTCTGCATTTTGACATGAAAGGAGAACATTAGCTAAGTCTGCGGTTTGACTTTTTGAACTCAGAAACTGTCTCTTACAATAACAAGTCAAGGGACCTTTAGAGATCATTCAAGCCAAACCCGTATTATTTCACTCTTATATCCAAATTTCACTTTACGTCCTACTTTACCAGGGGAAGGATATTGCAAAATCTCCATTTCCAGCCCACTCTGGGACCAGCCAGAGGTGGTATTTGCCAGTTCTCTGAACTACTCAAAATTTCAGCTACCGGTTCTCCAGAACCTGTCAGAACCTGCTGGATTTCACCCCTGTATCACAGGCACAATTGCTAAACAAGGAGGGAAGGTTTCTCTGTGGCTCTTCCCAGCTTTTGCAATTATTTACCAAAGTGGTTGAGCTAGTTTCACTTCCAGGCTGTTGTTCTCCTTGCAAACCCAACATTTATTCAGGCAGGAGTTTGACCTTTCATTGTTTCTAAAATCAAGAAACTTTAATTGATTAGGGGTGTGTGTATGTCTTTGTTTGTTTTGAATTAGGTTTAATTATAGTCATGTACTTTAGCTTCATTTTGGCCAGGAAGACAATTACAATACAGTAAATAAATATTTGCATTTTGTCCTTCCATCAAAAGGCCCTTACAATACATGAGGTTATGCAATTCATCTTCCCCTCAACCTTGCAAAAGAGATTAAACAATCTAACCAGGTGAACAGATTAAGCTCTCTAGCCTAAACACATACCTCATTTTATGTAATAAAGCATGTTACCCATTCCATTCCAGAGACTACCCATGTGTTTGTATGAAAAAGAACAACAATATTATCTGGCCAGTCATAGGAGCCATCATCTGGAGTAGTTTCTGTGCTATTTCTTATGGTATAGAAATAAATGTATCTCCCCAATACAGTTTCATAAAAAGAAGCTTTTGATCCAAACTACATGTTCTACAAGAGTTAAAAAGATGTGGCTGTTCTTACAGATCTATCTCTATTTAAGTATTACTGCTGTTATTGCTATTGTGGTGTATATTTACATAAAATCCTCTGCTTTGTTTCAATTTTATAGAACTGATAGAGAGAATTTGTTTTTTCCAAGTCTGGAAACTAGTGTAAATGCAAGCGACATGCTTCTTTTTATTTATATGACTTTAAATTTATGTATTTTTTTCTTGATTTGATTTCTAAACCAGCTTTATTTTGTACAATTCTAGACAGGGTATATAATCCTCCCAACTCCCATTTCCCCATAACAACCACCCTGTGAAATAGTTTGGGCTGAGAGTAAGTGAGTAGCCCAAAATAACTCAGCTGTCTTCCATTCCTAAGGATGAACTTTCCTAATTCCTAAAGATTTGGGGTCTTCTGGTTAAGCATCTTAACTCTACATAATTGGTCTTTCTAAAGGAGAAATATTTTATATTCAAAGTAATTATATAAAATTATAAATTACAATTATAATTTTGATGGAATTGAAACAAGTGAACTGGTATGGAAACAGAAAATGAATTGCCAATTGCTATAGTATCAACTCTAATACGTTTAGAGTTGGGGACAAGAAATAGCAGAAGATTATGATGTTGTTTCAACCTAGAAAATGGAATCCATCGCCATTAGCATCTGCATCTGAAGGAATATCAAAATGCATTTTAACACGGTAGCACAGGGGTTAGAGTGCAGTACTGCAGGCTACTTCTGTGACTGCCCTACAAATCTCACCAGGCTCAAGGTTGACTCAGCCTTCCATCCTTCCGAGATGGCTAAAATGAAGACCCAAAATTGTTGGGGGCAATATGCTGACTCTGTAAACTGCTTAGAGAGGGCTGTAAAGCACTGTAAAGCAGTATATAAATCTGAATGCTATTGCTATTGCTATCTTTCCTCCTCACCTCCAATTCTCCAGCATGGATTCCTGTAAACATCTGGATTCCCACCCACTTTGATGTTATGAACCAAGATTGATTCTTGACAAAGGCAAAGTTGAAACTATTAGTGTGGTGTGGCAAAATAAGAAGCATAAATAATCTTGGTTTGGTAACTTAGAATACAATCCCTTTTTTCTTCCCTTTAGGTAAGATCAATTCCGAGAGAGATTTTATTTTATTTTTGAAAGGCAGCTTGTTCTTATTACATTTTCTATGTACTCCTTTTATTAATTTGGCTCATGTTCTGAAGAAATGGAAGTCTTAAAATGATGGTGAAACAACAGGACAAGAAAGCAAATAGACACACCATTTTAAGATACTATAAAGACAGTAGTTTATAAAACATTTTGAGTATATGCCCTTTTTGCTTGAAGGTGTTCAAGTGCAACCTTTTTTGACAAAACTAGTTTTGGACAGGAAATGCTTTCCCAAACAATTTGAAATGATCCTGATATAATATGTGCTAAAATGTGACTGAAAATAGACCCACAGCACAGCTTGCGCCCAGCAAAAAGGGTTGGCTGTAGTTTAGTGCAAATGTTTTGAACAGCAAAACCAGAGCTTCAGGGAATAGTACATAATGACAGAAACCAGGGCAAGCCACTAAAAGGCAAAACCACAGTGACATATGATACAAACCTGTCCTTACATGCTTCCATCCTGATGCATGATGCAACAGTACATGTGTTGCGGTATTTGTGAATGCTGTTCTAAGGCCCAAGAGGAGCAAATTTATTCTACTGAAATACAAATCAGGTATATTAGTCTAGCTTCCCTTTGAGACTTAGTTTATCTACAAAAAATAATTAAAAGCCTTGAAGTTGATTATTCTTCTGTACAATTAAGTAAGCATATGGTTTATATCTTAGGCTGCATTATAACAACTGGGCAGCATTAACAGAAGGTTAGAATCAAGATCATGTGAAGTATAGCTTTATAATGCCTTAGTAAGACCACATTTGTAATATGGCACCCAGTGTTGGTCACCATAATATAAAAAAGACATTGAGACTCTAGAAAGAGCACAGAGAAGAACAACAAAGACGATTAGGGACTGGAGGCTAAAAGAGATGAGGAACAGTTGCAGGTATTGAGTATGTACAGTTAATGAAAAGAAAGACTAGGAGGTGATATGATAGCTGTGTTCCAATATCTAAGAGGTTGGCACAAAGAAGAGAGTCAACCTATTTTCCAAAGCACTTGAAAGCAGGACAAGAAGCAATGGGTGGAACCTAATTAAGGAGAGAACTATCCTAAGAACTATGGAGAAATTTCCCAACAATAGAGCAATCAATCAGTGGAATGACTTGCCTCCAGAAGTTGTGGGTAGGCCAACACTGCAGGTTTTAAGACAAGATTGGACAACCATTTGTCTGAAATGATATAAGGTTTCCTGCTTAAATAGGGAGTTGGACTAGAAGACCTCCAAGGTCCTTCCAACTCTGTTAGTCTGCTAACTTTCTTTTATTTCCAGCCTGATGTGCTACAGATGAGCTGGAGCTCCAAGTTCCTTGAATTCCCAAATAGCCTGCAGTTTGGAAAGTTGGGCAGTTACAATTCTAGCATATCGAGGAGACATCACTTTGGTGAACGTGGCTATTGATTTTAAACTGACCTACCAATAATAATTAGATAAAGGTAAAGGTAAAGGTTCCCCTCACATATTTGTGCTAGTCATTCCCAACTCTAGGGGCGGTGCTCATCTCCGTTTCAAAGCTAAAGAGTCAGCACTGTCCGAAGACATCTCTGTGGTCATGTGGCCAGCATGACTAAATGCCAAAGGTGCTTGGAACGCTGTTACCTTCCCATCAAAGGTGGTCCCTATTTTTCTACTTGCATTTTTTACATGCTTTCAAACTGCTAGGCTGGCAGAAGCTGGGACAAGTAACAGGAGATCACTCCGTTATGCAGCACTAGGGATTTGAACCGCTGAACTGCTGACCTTTCAATCGACAAGCTCAGTGTCTTAGCCACTGAGCCACCATGTCCCTTAATAATTAGATAGTTATGTAATTTATTTATTAGATAATATAAAAGAAAATTAGGGTGCTCTGTTACAATGGGAAAAAAAACCTGTTATAACAAAATTACCCTCTTCCTAAATCTGGGAAGGGCAGCTTTTTTCTACATTCCTTTTTTCTCAGAACTTTTTCCAGAAAAGCTGGAGGGTGATCTGGTGATGATATCTGAATGGGCAGTGATGCAGAGAACTCTAAACTTCTTTTTTTTTTTTTCCAACTGGGGAAAAGTAGAGAAAGAGAACACTCCGGAGACTTAATTATGATTTATGAGGAAGAAAAACACCACTTTTTTAAAAAATGAGGGAGAGCAACATTGCCAAAATTTATTATTTTTGCCGCTGAATTTAAGCAGTGCCATGAAAACAGTTTACCTGCTCAGTATTAAACAGTCAGTTCCTTGAGAAAAATGCTCAGTTCTGAATGCCATTAGAATTAGTATTTGGAAGGATGAAGGGGATTTACTAGACTGTATATTATCACTAATGTTGTGATATTTGTCTTATTTCATTTAGAGGCTGAATTGTTGAAAAATTGCTCTTCTTTAAAAGGGTGAAAAATCCCTTTTGTCCAATGTCATATTTTCAGTAGACATTAGCACATATTTTGGGGATATTATCAAGCAGAAAAGTTCAGCATTTCTCAGTCTGAAGCATATTGATTGTAAATGATCCTTTATTTTTCCATCATGATTAATAACTTTTTAAAAACTATTTGGGTTTAAAAGAAAATTATGCAAACATTTTTATATAGTTTGGATTGTTTTTGTTTAATTCATAGCATGGATGTCTAAAATAATACAAATGGACCAGAACTTACATTTGTAAGTCACATGTGTAGTATTAGCACTTGGTAGGTAACAGCAGAGGCACCAAATGTCCATCAATAAACCATTACCGATAAAAAAGAAAGAAAGAAAGGTTACTTCAGATCAAGGATCCAGTGTTCTTAGAAGTCTACTCATACTTTTGAGTCTGCCAGCATTTCTTCTAATGGGATGGCATATATACATGCACTCACATATGCAAAAGAATGGTAAAAAGAGTATGACATGACCTGCAATCATCACTTCTTACACACATTCAAATGTTATAGGGCCACAAGAAGGAACAAGATCTATATGTTCTTAATTCTAACATCTGGCTTTATGCATTTCTGCTGAAGGCTGTGATGATGTCATGTCATCCATTGGGATTGCATTGTATGATGTTTCTTTGTGGTTCTGGACGGGGTTCTCATTGGCTGCCATGGGATTGTAGTAGGATAGATCTCCAAAGTTTGCATTGAAAGGTTCAGGTATAGCATCTAGTCGCAGAACTGCAAGATATACATTGACAATATTTACACATATTTTAAACAATACATCTTTGGACAGAATGTTAAAGACAGTATGTGAATTATTTTAGACCAAGTCCTGCATACAGCAATATGCAATACATTAAATCCAATATATACATGCAGTTATGTGGATTACCCCATGTATGGGCATATCTTTCAGGAAATGCTTTGGTCTCAGATAACTTGCAATTTTATATTCATTCATTCATTCATTCATTCATTCATTCAGATAGCTGCCCATCTCTCAATTACAAAATAAAAATAAAAATGTGGTACTGCACCTACTTAAACAGCATAGGGAGAAGTAGAAAGTTTGGAAAGTAGCCCACCAGGTATGCCCTCTCAGTTATGATAAAACTGTGGAGAGAAGCCTTATTGCAGGCAGACCTGTCATTTCACAACAGCAGTCAGAAATCAAGACCTTCAAACCAATGACCTGGCATTTGGGATGAGTTCAAATGGCTGGAAAGCTAACTTGTTATGATACTTCAAATCAGCCTTCCCCAAGAATAACCTGACCTCTTTCTCCTATCATATCTCCCTCTGCCCATCTTAACTTCGATATTCCTACCTGCCCTCAATCCCATCAACTCCAACCTTCCCCATTAATGTCACCTGGCCCCACCCTCAGAGCCATTACATATATCACTGGCATTCAGCCCATAGGAAATCCCTGATAGCTGTTTCTGCGCACAACTCAGGAACCCACCAACCACCCATCATCAGTCTCTGTAAGCAGTCTAACCATTGGACCTCTCTCCCATCAACATATCTGCCAGCTGGAAACCCCTATCAACAGGATTCCCATCAGTAAGCACCTCACAATTAGACAGGAGGTCATCTCCAAGCCTTTGGTTCTTTCTAAGCTTGGTTGTTTTCTTACAGATGTTTCATTACCAAATTAAATGAGACCATCATCCCTTCCTCTCTGTCTGTCACCCAAGCAGTGCCAGCTACCTTTCTCCTCCAGATGCCCAATAAAATTGCTCTGCAAGGTAATCCACCTCATACCAGCACAGACTGAAGTTCTTTGTCAAGAAAAGTTAGAAAAGCAATCTATTATTAAAGTGCCCCTATCCAAATGGATAAGAGTATTCAAAGTGAAATGAGAGTAAAAAGACTGTTTTCAAGCCACAGGTCAAAGGTTGAATTTGCAATGTGAGAAAAGTAACAACTGGCATCTATTTCTACCCTCTAAATGTATAGCTATCACATTCTTGCAATAGAACCACCAGGAAATATTGATGAACCGTAAAGCAAAATGGTTTTAGCTAACATAAAGAAGAAGAGGAACTGAACATATAGATATTGCATAACTTCTTTTCCTCCTCTTTCTAAAACATATCCTTTAAAATGGGTGTCAAACTGGATTTCTTTGAGGGCTGGATCAGCATTGTAGTTCTCTGTGGGCCAGCCAGTGGGGGTGGGGGAGACGGACAGTTGCCTCCTAGAGCACCCTGCTTGCCAAAACAGGGCATGGGAGAGCCATGTGTGCCCCCCGTGCCCCGTTTTCAGCCTGGACAGCCTCCTGCAGCACCCTGTTGGCCAAAACGTTTTGGCTGCCAGAGGGACTGCGGGCTGGTCCTTTGCTATTTCCAGGACGGCCCCCTGGGCCAGATTTAAGCACTCTGCGGGCCGCATCCAGCCCGCCTTGAGTTTGACACCCCTGCTTTAAAATTACACATCTCAAAACCATACTTTCAAACCGCAAAATCCATTTGACTCTTATGGCTCTATTTCTTGAAATAGATTATTACCTGGATCATTTCTTGTGTCATCATAAAGTCGCTGATGTCCGAACGATTCAGATTTTCTTTTACCACAGATTAAATATCCAACCAGGCCAATCAGTGCAGATCCTAACAGTGCTCCTACAATTGTTCCAAATATTACCCCTCCATTACTATGACTTTCTGGAAAACAGATAAACATAATCATCTTCATGAAAACAACACCTGGTACTAATGAAAATTTGTTTTGTTTTGTTTAATTCAGAACTTTTCAGGAATAGACACAGATAAGGTTTAAATGAATGCTTGTCCTAAACATTTACTCTTGGTTATTTAACGAAAAAGATATTTTTTCCTTCAAAAAATCCAGAGGCAAAGATAATGTGGAAAAGTTTGTGTTAAGGGGGAAGAATATCATACAGGTGGCTGAGGACTGGGTATGAATATTCTGGCTTTCTTTCTACAGTAATGTTTTAGCAACCCACAGTCTTCCTTGGAGTCAAAGCATCATGGGAAAAAACCAAGAATAAAATTCTATATTTTGTTTGGATTCCTCCAACACTATATTAGGTAAGGTAGTCCTCAGTTTACAACCACAGTTGGGACTGTAAAATTTGTTGTTGAGTAGTCTTCTTGTTGTTGTGCCATATCTGTCATCGGACATTGGTGATCATGCTGGCAATCCTATTTTTATCAACAGCCGCATGAAAAAGTGCTGCTGAGCTTTGTCCCTTAGGTTGTCCCTTAGGTTGTTAAGTAGTGTGGTCATTAAATGAGGCATCACATGAATGCAGCCAATTTTACAACCTTTTTTGCACAGTCATTTAGTGAGACATCATGTCACCATGAATTGCAACCTCCTGCTGCTTCCCCATTGACTTTGGTTGTCAGAAGCCAGCTGGAGGGGTTGCAAATGAAGATAATAGACCCTAGTATGCTGCAACCAACATACATACTGTTACCTATGTAAATAGCAAGTGAAGCCAGGGATGTAGGCTTCACTCAGGTCCGGATTTAGCTGGACATTTGCATGCCTACCACTGATTGGTGGATTCAAATGGGGCCTGCCACTGATTGGTGGATTCAAACGGAGGGAAATGCAAAGTGTTGTCAGTGGCTGAATCGGTGGGACTGCTCCCTTTAAAAGGGAGTGCTGCCGGCTAAGCTTTTGCAGAAGTCACTTACTTAAATAAAGAGCTGAAGTTACTGTCTGTCCTCCTGCCTTTTCATTGCCTCCCACGACCTAACACATACATACCAGTTTTCAAGCACTCCAATCATTATCAGTTGATGGTGAGGACACTGCAATGGTCATAAGTGTGAGGAGCAATAATAAATCACATTTTTCAGCATCATTGTAATGTTAAACAGTTGCTAAACAAATGCTTGTAAATTAAGAACTACCAGAAAAACTGTTGAGTGATTGCAAAGTGTCTGTTATTGGGGAAAGGGGAAACAGAGGAAGGTCTTTGTGGATCATTTTGGCATAATTACTAATTTAAATCTGAATTGCATAGCCTATGGCTTTTCAAAGACTCAAGCCATGTGCTGTGAGCCAGAGTCTTAGATGTGGCCTGAAGATTCTGTCCAAAAGTTGCCACTTAATTATGTTTAATGAGGCAAAAGAAGAAAATGCTTAAATATGGGGTAAGAATATAAACTACAATCCATCTAATTAGTTCTGTAAAAATATAAATTCTAGTAAAGGAAAATGTCACTATCCCTTTGATGATGCACTGAATGAAAAAAAATAGTTTAAAATATAGACAGAACAATAATTCTCACCTAAGAAAAATGAAATCTTTCTTAGAATGCTTTGGACAAGTCTACACAAAAACTACTGTTATATACCACCCAGAGTCAATTTTCATGAGATGGGGAACCATACAAATTTGATTAATAAATAATTTTCACTCGACCAACAACAAATGGACTTACTTGTTTTTAGAAAAGTAGTACAGACTTGTTCCATTCTATTACAGTGATACTCAATGTGTTGAAATTTTGGTAAGAACATCTTTATTGATTCCCTCATAATTTTAAGAACAGGATTACTTGAGATAATATGCTCATCAATTAGATTCCTTTATAATATTTACTTTCTACAATATAAACAATTCTGTTTCTAAAAATTATTTGCCAGCTGCTTTTAAAGTCAAATGACAACAGTAAGCTGTCTACTGTAGATGCAGTACAATTGCATAGCTCATAGCATTGGGTGGTGACATTAATTAAGGACAATTAATTTTCTTACCTTTCGGGGCTTCTCTTGCTCCTGTAGAGCCAGCAGTTGCTTTGGGAAGCAGATTTGCTGTTGTTGATAATTCAGTTGTAACAGCACTACTCTTAGTAGTTAGCAACACAGGTGTTGTATTTGATAGATTTTTAGTGGGACGAAATGTTGAACCATCTACTCGAGTTGTGTTATGGGAAACCCTGGTTGTGAAACTGATATTAGGAGTGATTGTGGTGACACTGTTTGATTCAGTTTCAAATGTCTTGAAGTAAGTGGTGGCTTCATAACTTCTAGAAGTATTTGCAGGCATCCCTGAAGAGGATATTCTATGCTTTACATCTTTTGTAGTAAAAGTTAGTGGATGTCTTGTTGGTAAGAACAAACTGTGAAGAGATGTTGTTGGAGTCAGAGTTGAGGTGGTCTTGTTGCTTGAAGTATTGCTTTCTGTTACAGTACTCTCATTTGGACTAGCACTGATATTTCTAGGTTCTGTAGAAGTTCTATCAGAGGTCACATTGAATATAGTTGGACTCATAGGAGTGCTGCTTACACTGCTTCTTGAAGATGTGGGATTCACTGCATCTTCACTGTGATTTCTGGCCAACTGCAGACTAATCAGCAGCAAAATGAACAATGTGCCCTCAGTTGTTGGCATTCTTTCACAGCCTCAATACTTTCGTGGTATAGAGTGCCTAAGGGGAACATGTTTAAAAATTTATTGAGTTCTTATGGAATTTAATATATCCACAGAAAATATCTTCCTATTCTACTGCTGATATCCTAAATGGGAGGAACTAGGAAATTTCAGTAAATCAGTAATGAATTGTAAATGTGAATTGTTTATACATTTTTCTCATACATTGGAGACTAATATTTTCCTGAGATACATCTATGTTTTGTATACATTCAGGATCTGTGTAATTAGTATCCAGGTCAAATTTTCTGATGTCCTAGGGAGGGTCTGTTCTGCTATTATGTAGAATGTTAACAAAAGAATGTTTATGTATTTAGCATCACCTGCTTTCAGAAAACCATAGTTGAGGGAGTGGGGGTAGATGACTAATTTCATAGCTAGGGACAGAGGCAGAAGCCTGGTTGAAGGCAATTCCATTTAATATAAACCAAAGACATGCAAAGGAACCCCATCGATAAGAAATGCTAAAATTATGCTCCCAGCTCCTGTTCTACTAATATCCTTACAACAATCTACTAATAGGCCAGGTTTACTGCAATCTGGGATTATATTTTGGAGCATCTGACCCAATTTAATGAGATCCTGATAGGGATGCATCTAATCATCTTAATCCATTTTACATTATTTTTACATGAACTGAATCATGTCAATTCTCTCAAATATTTGTATCATTCTTTAGTGTTTATTTTTATACATTAACTAGAAATTGTTTTCGGTCAGCCTCATTTCACTGCTTTTGCTTTCTTATGTGGACTTAAGCAAAAGTGAAATGAAAACAATCAGATTTTTTAAAAATTGTGAGTAATTTCTCAGCCTAACATGAGATATGTATTGCACTTCCATTTATATCCAGTTCTAGTTTCAGCATATATTTATTACATCACGGGCTAGTTCTGTGAATGCAATCAGACTACATTTACAAAGGGTCTCATTTTATTGGCTTGTAATTATTTTGTCACTCTAGCCAGATTCATTAAAAAAACTAATCATATGTTACTGTTGCTTTTAATGTGTATTTTATCTAGCTAGTTCTATTCCAAATGTAGCTATTATTTTAGTTAATTGACTCAAATCATTTTAGTTACCGTATTTTCTCCCATAAGTGAAATTATTCAATATATAATTAATGTGCTTAAACTGGGTTACAATTCATGAAAAGATTATTTGTCCTACTCTGTAGCATTTAGCCATAGCTAATAACTATAAAACCACAAACAGAAAGAATAAAAAATTAATGTGACCTTTTATGTTTTGTCATTTAATATTAACATATTCAAAACACTTTTTTTTTAATTTTGCCCAAATCTTTCCTTTTTACATGAAAGTAACTGGCAATATAAAATGAAAAATTTATGCATTAAGAAAAACAAGCTTCCCAGAGTTACCTTGAGGTAAGATAAGCGGTTTATAAATTTATAAATAATAAATGAGAACCGGTAGTGGCAGCGGGTAGTTCAGAGAACTGGTAGCAGTGGCAGCGTGAGGCTCCGCCCACCCACCTGGACGTTGTTCCTGGTTAAAACCAGGACGTAATCTGTTTTTTACCCTCTGCACATGCGCAGAAGGCTTTGTGCATGCACAGAGGGTCCAAAATCGCACGTGACATGCACACGCACTTCTGAACCAGTAGGGAAGGTAAGTAGATTTCACCCCTGATAGATAGATAGATAGATAGATAGATAGATAGATAGATAGATAGATAGATAGATAGATAGATAGATAGATAGATAGATAGATAGATAGATACACACACCATAGCAACATGACATTAATCATCAGTGACCTGAAGAAAGTTCTATCTCAGGCAGGCTTATGGAATGACCTCAGAGTCAGTGCCAGTCTGAACTTTGGGAGAAAGCTATTTTTCTAAAGGCTTTACAGTTGTCATCTATCTCATATGGGGAATAACAACTGTCCTCAACTGGGATGAGCATGTAGGATGGATAAATTCTACCTGGAGTGTTTCTGGGAGCTAAGCCATGAGGTCATTTAAGGTCAAAAGAGCCTTGATAGTACAGTGGTCTAAGCACCCTGTTATTAACACAGCTGCCTGCAATTACTGCTGGTTCAAATCTCTCCAAGGCTCAAGGTTGACTCAGCCTTCCATCCTTTCTAAGCTAGGTGAAATGAGGACCCAGTTTGTGGGGGCAATAAGCTGACTTTGTATAAATATACAAAAGTATGAAGGCTATTGCTTAACGCATTGTAAACCGCCCTGAGTCTCCGGAGAAAGGCGGCATATAAATCAAATTAAAAAAAAATATCAACACTATGAATTGTGCCTAGAAACGTAATGGAAGCCAATGAAGTTCCCCACAGTGTAAACATTACCTTACTATTGCAGTTCTCGCCAAGAACTGGGCAACTGCATTTTGCATCAATGGCAGTTTCCAAGTAGGGTTCAAAGACAACCCCACCTGAAGTACATTGTGGTAGCCTAATCTGATGCATGAGTTTCTGTGGCTCTGGCTTTAGCAGAGCCACAGGAATCTTTAAATTCAGGTCACCTGTTTGTAAATTCTCAGCCTTGATTTGGCTTGTAGTTACTATTAGATGCTAAACTCAGATCTCAATGATCATTAGACTATTACCCTCCCTTTTCCTTCAGAGGAACTGTAATAATAAATATGTGCAACCAGAAACTAATTGAAAAAGTAAATAAAAATAATAAAGAATGAAACATCTTATTCTCAGTTTAAAAATATATAATTCAAGTCACCAAGAATTAATCCAAGTAAAAAAAAATAATTTACCAATTCCAAACTAGAGTCACAGGTAGACTTTGATAAGTCTCATAATTGTTGCAAAAGTTGGAACAATTTCTTCAAAAGATGATCTACACGTCTTCACTTTTATTGCCATGAAATAGGAATACACACACTTATCAGTTAATATTTTTTCTTTCTTTCATACTGTATAAAAAGGGAATCTAGCTTGTATTAAAATTTTACAATTAAATATAATCTTATTTTTGAACTAAATAACTTTAAAATTAAAATACCTTATATGCATGGAGGTTAAAATAACTAAAATATAATGAGCCATGCATGTAAAATTCTGATTATAATCTCTCTTTTTTCCTTTTCACAGTTAGCAATTGTCAAAATGTTTAAAAATGTTAAAAATGTTTTTTTTTAATTACATTATTTCCACTGGAGAATGCATATATGCACATATTTTGACATTGTTATGAAAAAGTGTGAAACTGCAAATGATGAAATCCAAACTTTGAAGTTGACAGGCGTGGTAATAACCCAGTCAGAAAGTTGCCATTCAGTAAAAAGATTGTTGGAGTAATCCTTTATGCACATGTAGTAAAAACAAACTAGCATTTAAAGTAATACTGTGCTACCTCAGCAACAGTTTCACAAAAGTAGACTTTCTAACAATGAACACAAAAAGGAGTTATAAACACAATATCAATTAAATATGCTTGTTTCACATCTTTAAGAACTGTCCAGAAGTGTGTCAGATCATTTAACTGATCTGGACATGACCTAGCTGACATAAAGATAAGGTTTTAACCAAGCACACTCCTAAAAGGTAACTGCAAGTGAAATTGCTGAATGGAAGCCATGAAAAGAAAAAACCTCTTACCTTTTCAACTCAATAATGTTAGAGAAGTGCTGAAATGATTTGCTTCTAAACTGGAGTGCAATTAGCTTAACAGTCTGCTGAAAGGAAGAGGAGTCAAGTAATGGAAATGTATCAGTGTTGCAGTGGACAGGAATGCAGGGTAGGAATTAAATTAGGTGGGGCTCTATTTCTCTGGGTGTAACAAGAGCACCTGAGAACCAGAATGACTGCTTCTCGGTAGTCATTGTGAAGGCATACCATTCATAGAATGTGAAACTATTGAAATTAAGGGGATGGGTGATTCTGATACTTCCCCCAATGATACATGATGTGTACTATGTTCTATGAGAGAAATACTTTCAAATATAAGAGAGGGGGGGGAGAGAGAGATTTTTACGAATGACCTGCCAATTTTATAATATACACTTTTACTATTTAGCATTGTGAGCTGAGGATCCAAATGTTGTTGCCGCCGCTGCTGTTTTAATTGCCTGTCTTTCAAAAAGTTTTTTTTTAAAAAAATCCAAAATATTTGATTAAAGAACTGACACTGTTTTAGCCACAACCTACTGTGTTTCAATCTGTTTCAGCTTGAGGCAACATTGCTGTTAAATTTATATCTAAATATTGCAAACTAAATAGGGAACCAATTTTCTTTGCCTGAAAAGAAAAGAGAAAAATAAATCTGCTCTGTATGTTATACAGAGCTTCTTGTCTAGCATATATCAAGGACTGACATGAGACTAAATGACAAATTATATATGCAGCCTACTAATTAAAAGAGAGAAAGCTTTTTGAAAGACAACACTTTCATTTTCTCCAGGCCTAATACACTCTCCTGAATTCCTAAAATGGATCACTTCATAGACAAGAACTCTTCTAAATGATGACCCTTATCAGGGAAGCTGAGGAAAGGAGAAGATCATTCAGATCAGGTCGAAAGCTCTGTCTAATAAGTAGAACTATGGAGTCCTTAGTGCTTCTCTGTGCTTGGTGGTTTTCTTGCAGAAGTTTTGTCACCAAACTACGTAACATCATCAATGCTAGAAGGGAGTGGGGTTTGCTCTTATTTTTATATACTAGCAGCTTGACCGTGTCAATATTGATAGAAGTGTCCTTGGTGATTCTTGATAAGGCTATTCTTTACTACTAACTTGTTTGTCTGCATTGATAAAGGTAAAGGTAAAGATTCCCCTCGCACATATGTGCTAGCCCGACTCTAAGGGGTGGTGGTCATCTCCGTTTCAAAGCCAAAGAGCCAACACTGTCTGAAGACGTATCCATGGTCATGTGGCCGGCATGACTAAACACCAAAGGCACAGAGAATGCTGTTACCTTCCCACCAAAGGTGGTTCCTATTTTTCTACTTGCATTTTTTACGTGCTTTCGAACTGCTAGGTTGGCAGAAGCTGGGACAAGTAACGGGAGCTCACCCCATTAAGTGACACTAGGGATTCGAACCACTGAACTGCCAACCTTTCGATCGACAAGCTCAGTGTCTTATCCACTGAGCCACCATGTCCCTATATTGCATTGGTAGACACTGGTATATAAAAATAAGAGCAAACTCCATTCCCTTCTAGCTCTCCCTTCTAGCACTTACAATGTTAACTTATTTGGTAATAAAACTTCTGCAAGAAAATTACCAAGCTCAGAGAGTACCAAGAACCCCAACAGTTCAACCCCGAGCTGCAAATATTCTCTTCTATAAGTAGAACTGCCTATCCTATTCTAACCAAGAACCGTTATTTTGTTGGATTTCATGAAGAAAAAAGGACAGAAGAGCTGCTGTTTGTCTCTTCTTTCTACCAGAACTTCTCATGATGTTAACTTTAACCTTTACAATTGAATAAATCTAAGTAGACAAATATTTCTACATTTTTAGAAACATCTCCTGTAAGGTATAACTTTATTTCCTTTCCTATATGTGATGCCTTTTCAGTGTGTCAGGTTAACCTACCAGCGTATTCAAAAGTCCACTTTGGGAAGGTTATGTTTTTTCCAAGTGTTTTGAGAAAGGAACTCCCTCAGGTGTAACTGAAATGTGCTTGGCTTGTTCTTAGTTAAAATTCTTGAAGTATTTAAGGATACTTCATAGACTACTTCAGATAATTTCTCCGACAAGCTACTCTGCACCAGAACAGGATGCATGTCTTTCCCAAAACCACATAATTCAGAATATTGTAGAGTCTCATTATGACGAGTCATTATTCCTTTTACTTATTTATTTTTCTTTATTAAATTTATGTAACTACCATCTCAAACATGACTATGAGTAATATATACCTAATATGGCATCAAAATGACTTTCATAATGACTGAGGTTCAAATACAAAAAGGATAGTTAGTAGATAATCCAGTTCTATGAAGAAGTGCCTTTTCCAATGTGTAACATTTTAAGTAGATGGATATCTATTTCTAAGCACCATGATGCCAAAATGAAATATTTAACCATGTTTTAAGTAGCACGTTTGCATCTCAGGTACAGTATTAGTGATAAAACTGATGTACAGTGGTATATAGTAAGAGCTCTGTTGGCACAGTAGCTAAGTGCTGTACTGCAGGCATACTCTGCTCACAGCCTGGAGTTTGATCATGACAGGGCTCAAGGTTGACTCAGCCCTCTGTCCTTCCAAGGTCAGTAAAATGAGGACCCAGATTGTTGGGGCCAATATGCAAATAATGCTTACATTGTAAGCAACCCAGAGAGTGCTAAAGAACTTTGGGGTGGTGTATAAGTCTAAAATGCCATTGCTATTGCTATTCCTCAATTACTACATTAAAAGCTATAATTAACATTTTAGGGGGAAAATAATTTCTTCCCCAAGATTAGAATGGCCTCAACCCTGCTGACTTTTGTTTAAATGTTGTTTAAATGTTAGTTGCTCAGAGTGAAATGAACAGCCATTTAGGATGGATGAATTTCTGTTCTATTACATCAACCTCCAATAAAGAACTCTATAGAGTTCTGGGGCAAAGGTTTCTTTTACCAGGAAATTTGCCATGGTTAAAGCCTCCACCCACCTGTTATTAATCCCTTACTATAAATGTCATAACAAATTCTAGGACACATTGCAAAAGGGCAAGTTCTCTTCTTTAAGGTGACCTGAGACGTAACCTGTCATGTTAGCACTGTACAATGCTCTTGAGTGAGAAATTAAACACTTGAATTATATAACATAGCAAAAATGATGTTCAGAAAAAGACAACCAAAGGTCAGTGGGAATCTTCTGCAAGTACTGCTAAGATGGAGCAGTGACTATGGGAAAATAAAATGGTAAAGCTTATGAGTGCAATCTCCAATCATCTTGTCTTTCTTCAATGTTTGTAATGTTGAAAATGTAACCATCAAGGCAGTGCCTACTTAAAGACATATGGTACTTCTTAGCCACATTGACTTATGGCGCCATCTTCTGCTGATGTTGATGATTTGTATTTTTTAAACTATTTGGAAGTACAGTTGGCATTGATGATCCCTACGTTTTGGTGCCTCAAGCCAGTACCACCTTGGCCTTAACCTAAAGCCAGCCCTGGGGTAATCATTAAATTAAGGGAAAGTCTATAGATACAGCTTCTCTTTTTGTTATTTTTTTTTTCAAAATATGACATTTGCAACTTAAAGCTGAAAAATCCATTACCATGAATTTTCACATGAAAGCAGATATGCAATTTTTCTTAACTAGTTCTGAGAACAACCTTTACTTTATCAAATTGAATTTCTGGATTTAATGATGCCTCACCGTTTTCAAAGAGATATGGAAGTTAAACAATATAGGTTTCAGCATAGGTTACATCAACATAGGTTACCTATCTTATGAAACTGGATAAATCCCTGTGTTTTAAAAATATTAACGAAAATAGAGAATTCCATTTTCTCAGAATTCCTTTCTAAATTTGGAATTGTGGACCAATAAACTGTCAATCGCCTCAGTGATAAGATATTGATATATATCTCATGTTTTTTTTTTTTACAGCTACAGTCTTCTTAGAGTTTTGGAAAAGACGACGAGCTGTACTTACTTATGATTGGGACCTCATAGACTGGGAAGATGAAGAGGTAAGAATCCTTTATAATAGCAGTTTTGATATCAACATGCATTGATTTTTCAAGACTGACAGGTATCATGCAACATGTCTGCCTCTTTGACAGCTTATATTTATTGAATGTCAACTTCAGCTTGATTTCTTTTATACCTAATTACTTGAATGTGATTGAACACACTCACACACATAAGATTACAACCTAACAAATGATCATGAATACTAATAGAATGCTGACTGAATTAAGCACTTAAAGAGATAGAGATAGATGATAACATTATTTCAATCACTTCTATAGAGAGAGTCACCTTCGGCAAGGCGAGTAGCATACAAGTTTGATTGACAAGCATGCAAGCAAACAAATGAATAAATAAATAGTTTGTTTATTGCATTTTTGTGCCAGGATTACTTTTCTTAATATTTGTTTCCATTTATGATAATGCTAGCTTGTTGTTGCAGTCAACAGAACTCTAGAATTTGGATGTACATGCATATAGTCCACTAGTCCCAGCACAGAGAGACCTATATCCACACACAAACATGTCTGAACTAAACTAAAACTTTGCAATTGCAGGAAGAACTTCGTCCCCAGTTTGAAGCAAAATATTCTCAAGTGGAGCGTGTAAATCCTATAACAGGAAAGCCTGAACCTTTTCAACCTTTTCCTGATAAACTAAGTCGACTAATGGTATCTGTGTCAGGAATATTTTTCATGGTAAAATCTCTGAAATTGTCTACTTCTTCTTGTATTCCTGGTTAACATTTGTCAAATTAATCTGACCTAATGAATAATGCAGGTAGTCTTCGACTTACAACCACAATTAAGCTCAACATTTCTGTTGCTAAGTGAGATATTTGTTAAGTGTTTATTTTACAACCTTTCTCAACCATAGTTATGAAGTGAATCACTGCAGTTGTTAAATTAGTAACAGGGTTGTTAAGTGAAACTGGCTGCCTCATCGACTTTGCTTGTCAGAAGGTCACAAAAGAGGATCCCATAATCTGAGGACACTGCAACGGTCATAAATATGAGTCGGTTGCCAAACATCTTAATTTGTGATCATTTGACCATTGGAGATGCTACAAGGGTTGTAAGC